TGGTGAGGGAGGAGAGAATGCACCGCCAGCCATGAAGTGCTCGCGACGTTAGCAGTGCGGCACCAACACGCTCGAGCTTGTCATTGCACTGGAGGCCCAAGATTTTCCGAACGCTCCACTTTTTGTCTCACACAAGGCAATTATCGTTTCTGACAGCACAATAGGTACGGCGGCATCGCATGAATGCCACCCGCTTCGAGCACTTATTCTCAGCAAGAACTCTCACGCAACAACAGGCCCGGTAAACAAACCGGACGGTTTCCAATTCATCCCGAATGAGGACGCGGCTGGCGGCCGGTCCAGACGCATCAAGAGGGCGGCGCCACACCGCGCCGCTCCCAACAGGCCGTCGCTGGCTGCAGGACGCCGAGCGCCAGCTGCCACCGCTGGGCAGCCCCGCCGACCCCGGCGGCCGAGCTCTGCGGCGCGGCGAAAGCGACGTCGGCCGAGCGGTGACCCGGCGGCGCGGCGGCCGCAGAGGTGCCGCCCCAGGTCGCGCCCGGGTCAGCCGGCCGCACCGGCGGCGCCGAGGTGCCGGCACAGCGGTGACGACAGCCCGGGCCGTCCGGCTCCGCCGCCAGCCCAGCCCAGCGGCAAGGACCGCAGAGGCGCCGCCCCAGGTCGCGCCCGGGTCAGCCGGCCGCACCGGCGGCGCCGAGGTGCCGGTACAGCGGTGACGACAGCCCGGGCCGTCCGGCTCCGCCGCCAGCTCAGCCCAGCGGCAAGGACCGCAGAGGCGCCGCCCCAGGTCGCGCCCGGGTCAGCCGGCCGCACCGGCGACGCCGAGGTGCCGGTACAGCGGTGACGACAGTCCGGGCCGTCCGGCCCAGCCGCAGGCCCAGCCCAACGGCACGGACTGCACTACAGGCTCAGGGGAATCTACCGGCCCGGTGGGTTCCGTCCTGATGGCCAGGATACTGGATATGACGACTGGCGAGTGTTGCGACGACACATATTGGCCGATCGGTACCAGCGAACCGCACGAACACCCACGCGAACGGTCGGAAGGCCACAGTGGTGCAGGACGTCCAGATGTGCTGACGGCCTGCCGAACTCTGCACGCGGCCACGATCTCGAGCCAAGAACGGACGCTGAGCTGGCCTTGCGTGTGGCTACACACACGCCTGGCGACAATGGCAAGTTACTAGCTATCTTCCCGTGACTTCCCAACATTTAAGGGTGCCAAGAACGGCCGCTGAGCTGGCCTTGCGTGTGGCTGCACACACGCCTGGCGACAATGGTAAGTAACTGGCTAGCTTCCCGTGACTTCCCAACATTAAAAGCATCGCAGCAAACGCACCTGATAAACTTCAAAAGACCTCGCTGTCTAGTCCGCGAGCGCAAACTTAAGTCCAAAGCCTCGACAGTTACATGTGTCGCAATGCATGGGCGACGTAACTACGTGCCAAAATTCGAACACCCGACAGGTCGTCCGACAGTGAGCTGGAAAAAAGTTAACGCTCTCCAGATGTGTCGGAATACACTCCGGATGTGTCGGAACACTCCAGCGCCGCCGGCTGACATTCCGACAGCTCCGGCGACCCAGACGGCCATTCCTTCCACATCCTGACCATGTCAGAGGAACCGTGATTCAGTGCTGTTGCTAGAGTAGTTTCGCTAAGTGCCGGAAACTTGCACCCGGGCCTGCGTTCCAGAAATGCTGGCCACGGCCGGGCGGACAGCGTCAGCTCGACGCCGCGAGCGTCTCCGACACAGGGCGAATGGGCCCGCCTCTCCCAGACTGTACCAGCGCTCGCTTCTGATCCACGCCTGCTGAGTGCTTTACACCCGGGCTGCTGCTGTGATTGCGTCGCATGCCGGCGCTAACGGCGGTCAGTCTTCTGCTCGTGATAGCGGAGTCCAAGACTCACGATACGCCACAGCTCAGCTGGATTGCGATGACAATATGTTTCGTGGGTTGGTGATTGGATGTCGAGGGAAACATAGCCTTCTGTGAGGCATGTTCTTCCACATAGATGGAGATGGCAGCATAGGTTTAAAATTCATCTCTGATCTCGACTTTGACTCTGAACGAGCCATCATATCAGGAAGTGGCCTGCACATACTATGGATGGTGCCATGAGTTCGTCGCCCCTTGGAACGACCACCAGGTTGACACGGGAATGACCTGTCGGTCACATCATCGCCATGACTAAAGCGCCGGTAGCGCCGGCCTCGGCCCGGCATGCGTCCCTCTTGCGGGGAGGAGGGTCGGGGTCGGGGTCGGAGTTGGCATTGGGGTTGGGGTCGGCGACCGCCGCCGGGCCCGGGACGGGAGCAGCGCCGGCCGAGACGCAGTTACAGCGCCGCATATTGATCGGAGGCCGATGCTCCGGCCGGTGGCCGAGCCACCGCTCAGGGGACCGCGTCAGGACGGCCGCTGACCGGCGGCCTGACGCGGTGGGCGCCACACCGCTCAGACGACCGCGTCAGGACGGCCGCTGACCGGGGGTCCAACGCGTAGCGCCACACCGCTCAGGGGACCGTGTCAGGAGGACCGCTGACCGGGGGCCCAACGCGTAGCGCCACGCCGCTCAGGGGACCGCGTCAGGACGGCCGCTGACCGGCGGCCTAACGTGGTGAGCGCCAAGCCTAACGCGGTGAGCGCCACACCGCTCAGGGGCCAACCGTCCACCATCGGAAACTGATCAGACGAGAGGGGAGGACGCTGACCGACGATCCAACGCGGTGAGCGCTACACCGCCTGGGGCCGATCGTCCACCATCGGAAACTGATCAGACGAGAGGGGAGGACGCTGACCGACGGTCCAACGCGGTGAGCGCTACACCGCCTGGGGCCGATCGTCCACCATCGGAAACTGATCAGACGAGAGGGGAGGACGCTGACCGGCGGTCTAACGCGGTGAGCGCGACACCGCCTGGAGCCGACCGCCCACTATCCGATTCTGATCAGACGCACGGTGTCCGCCGGTTTAACACAGCGACAGCGATAAGCCGCGGGGATATGCGAGGACCGGGTGTTACCAATCTGCAGCACTCTTAAAACCATTACGGAATTTATTTTGACTTTGACATTATTGAATAGACTTGGGAGACCTCCAGAGTGACTGAATAATTCGGCTATGATCCTCTTCAAAATGCTGTAAACAGCCGTCAGAATTATCCTTCAAAATTCAAAATCCCAAAATCCCTCCCAAAATCCAAGAATCCTCTCCTTCAATTCAGAAATCTCCTTCAAAATCCTGCAAAGGGCCATCAGAATGGCAGTATGACTGAGCGCAAAACAAGCAACTCAACATCGCCGCTCAACAGAGCACAAAGTCTGGCCTCCATGACATTGACGGCTCTCTTCGCCGCCGGGCCAAACAACTGCCGGACAGACGGCACAGAGTCCATCAAATGCCGCCGAGCCTCGGTCTGGGCAGCAGCAGGCGGCAGTCCGGGCCGGGCCCGAGCTGGGCCACTGGCGGGCGACTTACGACCGCGTAACGGCGCCGGTGCACGCGGCCCAGCTGAGATAGGCCGCAGAGCGCGTACCGCTCGCGCAGTACGTCACGCGCGGCCGGCCGCTCCCGTCGGCCCGGCACGTAGTCGCGGATGAGACGCAGGATCATGGCGACGATCAGCGCGCGCCCGAGCGGCGCCCGGCGCCAGCCGGCAGAGCGCCGTCCCGGACGGCGGCGGCGGTGGCGTCCCTGGCCGACTGCAGCTCCCACATCGCGTTCTTCTGGCGAGGTGGCGCACGGCGCTCCTGGCGGACGCGGGCTCTGCCTGTGACGACGGGAGGACACTAGGCAGCCCGTCTCGCGAAACGGACCTCGTTTCTGATAACTAGACGACACTCGGCAGTCCGCAAGGGACGGCTCTGGCCTCTGCTGACTGAGTGACACTCGGCAGTCTGCGGAGGACGGCCCTGGCCTCTGCTGACTGAGTGACACTCGGCAGTCCGCGAGGGACGGCTCTGGCCTCTGCTGACTGAATGACACTCGGCAGTCTGCGGAGGACGGCCCTGGCCTCTGCTGACCGAGTGACACTCGGCAGTCCCGCACGAAACACGGGTGCGGTCGCTGATGACCGTCCGGCGCCAGGCTGTCTCTCCGGACACAGGCACCCGACGACTCTGCAGCACGTCTTCACGCACAGGCCGCCTCGGCCACAGCACCGCCTACTGCTGAGTTGAGTCGGTCGGGCCGGGCCGCCCCTGTCCGGCTTCCCACTCCGCCGGCCAGCTCGCGTTTCGCCGCCACCTAACCGCACGCCGACAAGGTGCCAGTGTCGCCTTTCAGTGGCATCTCGCCGCCGGAATGGCTGCACGCCGACACGCAGCACGGACGTCCACCCTCCTCCAGGACCGCCACCGGTCTGGGCCACAGGCTTCTATCTGGCCTTGACTCCACCACATCAGTTCATCAGTGAAGTTGAGGTGCCTAAGCCCCTGCGCTCACCACCAGACCAGCACAGTCACCAGGTACGCCAGCGAGCCTGAGAGAACTCCTCACAGATCGAGTCCACCGACCAAGTCCGAACTTCGTTGGTGAACCATTATATCTCGGACGTGGCCCATCCCCAGACCAGGAGTATTTGGCTCCACGTTTAACACAGAGCTTGGACCATCATGCCGCAGATCTACCGCCGTGCCTCGATTATTACCACTTGGTGCCACACAGAACCTAGACCAGCCAGTTTAGGTTCCTCGCCTAGCCTAGCACATTTAGCTGTAGGTCCTCTATCGAGGGCCACACAGCGAATTTTCACGGTGATAAAAACCTCACCAAATTACGACATCACTTGCGTGGCTGAATCGTACATGTACTAATGTAGTTGTCATTATATCGCACTGACTGGTGTTGCAGTCTGATAACTACCACATAGGAAGCTTTGGCCTAATTCCTCCACCAAAACCGGGACACCAAGGGCGGGATAAGACGAACAGCACAGGATCTCACTGAGATCCCAGACAACACACGATCAGCTGATGCACCATCTTGCCGCATCAGCCGTCGGGGAAAGGCAGCGCCTGCTTGAGCGTCGGCACCCTACCTGACGCAGCCGGTGGGCCATGCTCCGCTCTCGCTCCTCGCTCGCGCACACCGTTCCGCCGTCACTCGGTCCCCCAGGGTCAGCGCTGGGCAGTGCGGGGACGACCGGTGCCGACCGGTGCTGGCCAGCCACTTCAGCACTGACGCTCTGGGACACCGCGGCGGCAGCGGCGGCCGCGGAGTTACGTCCCGGGACACGAGCCGTCGGCGATATGCTTGTTTACGGCACCGTCCAGTGCCATTCCCCGCATGCAACGACGTTCCTAAAGCCTGCTGTTTGCTCTGGACTGGCCAAACCGGTGACGAAAGTGACGGTTCTGCTCAGCTCACGTTTAGTCATTGGAATCGCCTCTGCCAGCCTGGCGCTCAACGCGCCTGGTCTGATGGACTGGACTGGACTGGTCAGCCTGGTGCGCGCGAGGGGCGCTGGTTCGGTGTCCGGCCCCGCCCCGCCGGCCGCCACCGGCAGTAAACATATGACGCGTGGCTAGCCGGTCCGGGACAGAGGTCACACTGTGGGACGCTGGACGACAGTCTGCACACGCGCGGATCGGAGACAGAGGTCACATTGTGGGACGATGGACGACAGCCTGCACGCGAGCGGATCGGAGACAGAAGTCACATTGTGGGACGCTGGACGACAGCCTGCACACGAGCGGATCGTCCCCCAGGGCGGCAGCCGCCGGCGCCGTGGCCTCCGAGCTGCACGAGGCGTCTCCGGGTCCGGACCAGCGCCCGCTGCCGTCCACATCAGACGCCTGGCCGCCTAGCAGCATTGGACTGGTGGGGCAGAGCTTTGTGCGACGCACGCTCTCCGGGGACAAACTAGTTTGGAATCTTGCGTGGAACTGTTGCCAGAGGTTAGGTGAGTGTGTGGAAAGTGTGAACACAGTAATGTTGGTTGCTGTGGCACAGGTGGCCCACACTACAACATTCCAGACCCCGTGCTAGCTAATGGACGCAAAGAAGAAAAGGGTGATGGAACACATGAACTGTTAACTGATTGCCTGGCATGGTTATGCATGCAACAGGTGTATGGTGGGCAACTCCCAAACACAGCAGAGGGGCTACAATCATGTTTGTGTATGTGAAATAATGATTCCATATAACCCCTATTTTGGAACTGACCAGGACTGATCTGACCTTCATGGACTGAGTATGCAAGCATGAGAAGGGTCACCATAGATGCCACCTCTAAGACAATATGCAGATAAGACGCATACTCTAGGAACATAAAACCTTTTATCTCTGGCAACACTGCCTGACACTTCACAAATTTGTTGCTTCTTGGTTCATGCATGGTCTGCTTCACAATTGAGCTGATGCAGAATCAGTTGTGCAGCAGGTGCAAGTTGATTGCCACAACAGCCAAATTCAATTTAATCATGATCACCACAGTGCTGCTAAGTTTACTTCAGAAATATGGAAGCCACTGTGGGTTTAACTAATGTTACGAAGCTATTGCTCCTCCCCTTCCAAACACCCATTCTCTTAGCATATGGGTCATGTCCTGAATAGTTTGGAAGCCAGATTTGAATAAGCACTGCTAAATTAAAAAACACCATTATATACCAAAACTATATTGGCTGTATTCAGCTGATGTATATATATATAAGCAGTGCTTATTCAAATCTGGCTTCCAAACTATTCAGGACATGACCCATATGCTAAGAGAATGGGTGTTTGGAAGGGGAGGAGCAATAGCTTCATAACATTAGTATATAACATATAATGTAACATATATATATATATATATATATATATATAACATACATATATATATATATATATTAATGTCACATATAATATATATTGCATACCAGGAAAGGAGTATATGCAGACACCCAACTCAGTGGAGGAAAGGAGCAACATATCTAAAAATTTTGGAAACATAGTTGTAGTAGACCATATGGCTGGTTGCATCCTTATTCTATAGTTATAGATTGCATGTCAAAAACTACACAGCCAATTACCTTTGATTAGCCAATCCCCAAAAAAGCACACATTTTTCAGGAGGTAAATCATAGGTAAAAATATGGCTTGTCTACTTCTGGGGTAGTGGGGGGCCCCCAGGCATTTTGGGACATTCCTTGCCATGGACTTCCAGGCAAAGTATTCAATTTCTAACCATGTCAGAGGACCTACACCAAACATCTTTCTCCTCTCATATACTCAACAGTATTTACTGCTTGGACATGCAACTTGAATGAATAAGCAGTTACCAGTTTCAGTGCCTAAAAAATAGAGTGTACTGTTGTCCTGACACCGTATAAGACATATGGGGCACTAACATTTCTAACCCTATTGTTTAGTGGCATACTAAGGATAAGCACATATCCAAAAAGCACTACTTCCAAAAGTTGAATGCAGTATCTGGAAAACAGCCTGTTCACTTTACATTGACATGTAAGGCTGCCTGGCCCAGAATGAAGAAAATGATGCAAGAGCCACAAACACAAAATTTGATAGTTCTGGCCAGGTTATGCCAACTCCTGACAATAACATCAGCTTCTGGCTATGATGTAAAACAACCATGTTTATGACTGATACCTTCACAATTTTGAAGTGCTGAAACTCACTGTCTTATGGCCATCTCATGCTGACTGCAATTCTGTTGAGTTTTCTCTTTCTGAGGATCAAATTTCTTGCAGAATATCATTTCCTGAAATTACCCTAAGACATTGGCTCTATACAATGAACTTGGTGACAGTGCTACAAACACTGGGCACTGATGTTTTGCACACATGTGATACAATTCTTGCTGTAATGTGTCTGCTATACCTTAAACATCTGGCATAACACATGTTTCCACAACTATACTTCTGGTGGTAGGGAAACCATAATACTACACCAATCACAGATTTAGTGTGCAGTAAACACATTACGGATCATCGCACATAGCTATTGAAGAACAGTATATAACGGCCAACTTACTATGCAATAAACTTCTTTCGAGGACATTTTGACAGTGGATCTCTTGCTTCAAGAGGATCTTCGTCAGTTAGTCGCTGGAAACTTAGCTCTCAGCTCAGTTCATTCACTTAGTTTCGAACAGCTCCACCGCGATTGCCACATGTTTTCACCAAGCCTGTTCACGTCGATATCTTGCACTTGCACGAGGATTAGGAGATAAATATGCTCCCTGCTTTCCGAACGGACAAAATATGATAGCTTCCCGCGTACTCTCACGCACACCACACATCCACACGACCGCGATCGCACCACACGTCAGCACACCCCACACCGCTCGCTTCACAACAGAAACGCGAATCGTGAGCAACTTATCATCCGCAAACAGGCACAACCATGAAGTGCTGCAAGAAATGTTAGTATCCAAATGTTCCAATTTTGGGAGTTTAAGAAAAAATCAGTGGATATCAACCTGAATAAACATCTTAAATGATCTACATACATTCACTTTATAGCATCATAGCCGCTTTTATCAACTTAGAATGTCCAAAAATTAATTTATAAGTTTTACCAAGTCGGTTGATGACGTCAGAGACAATGTCTACCTGTTCCGGCATTCTGCCAAATGAAACTGAACATGTGAGCAGCACTGAAGGTCGACTGACAGGCCGCTCAATGTGAAATTGTGATACCATGCATATGTATACGCGATGACGTACGTGCACGCGCGTGGCGCGTGCCGCAATTGCTTTTTAGCGCCTTGGTTTTACATGGATGACCCGAAAAAGCAGCAATCGCCAGAGCCGGCGAACGACAATTTGAGATTGCAGCCGCATCTCGGTAATTATGCGCCGAAGTGGCACGAAATTGGCACGTTTTGATAACGAATTGAACGGGAAATCGCGTAATGTCATTTGTTGGGCTGCGCTTTCCACGTGCCATGCGCAGAGTTGCGGTGAGGACTGATTCAGCCGTTTTTTTATCTTTTTGTACGCTCTGTGCCGTATTATGGCAGCCAGATCCGACGTAGGCATGAATCCAGCATCAAAGCATTAACCAACGTGCCGCCATCAATCCATATAAGCAGCTCAATTTTGTGCGACGCACTGCTGCGTCAGTAATCATCGTGCAAGCCGCAAAAAGCGGCATATCGGAAGTATTGACTGCGAGACGCGTCTGTCGAAACTGCGGTCAGTTTAGCGGCGAAATAAATTTCACCTCACGCGTCGAAATATTGCGTGTTTCATCGTTTTGTACCTTATTCCATTTAGATGTCATCTTGATTTCGTCTTGTTTGTGTGTGCTTGTCTGCAAAACAATTTGTTATGAAAGATGCGCGCCTTGATCGCCGACTGTCGGCGGTATTCTGCTCACCTTCCGTTCATTCATTCTTTGCTGCGGCAGAGGTAAGCTCAGCAGCAAGTGAATGCATTAAAGGGAGTGTTCCACATTTGTACGGGGCTTTTGGTCTGGAAAGTCTATCTTCAAGATAATTCGTTGCAGTTCATAGCCCTGCCCTTCTTAAGACCTAAACCTCTAGTTTCTGAGCTACATGCCCTCGCAGGGGCACCGGCTTTGGCCGGTGTAGGGGACTAGCGCCCCCTCGGGTCCCAGCTCCGGTAACAGGTGGACAGCGCAAGCTGTTCTTCTCAGGGCGTAGCGACCCTGCCGGTACGTGAGCTCCCGCTCCTTGTCCCGTCCGCTCCCCTCCCATTACCCACTTTCCTGCATCCAGCCCACTCGTCGCTCATCATCCTCGTTTTATCGGGGTCGCCGCACCCCCTCGCTCGCGTCCTCGGATTGATCGGATCCTGGTGGTCCCAACACTCCACTTTGGCCAGGATATCCGGGGGCGTGGGGGCCCGTGGGGTCCCACACGGGTCTAGCGGCTTGCCGCTTGCGCTGCGGCTGGGTGCTCCGTGCGGGTCTCCGCTTGGGGCGCCTGGCCGCGCGCAGTGGCTTAGGGGTTAAGGGGCGGCGGCGCTGAAGCACGGTTAGAACGGGGAGCGGGTCTCTCCGGTTACACCTCGCCGTGCGGGAGGTGTCGTTCGCCCTGCATAGCACCGGGGTAGCCGTGGCGGCGACCACCTCCCGATGGAGTGTTGGGCCGTCCCCCAGTTGGGCTCCGTGGTGGGTGGGGAGCCCCGGTGCCGAAAGAAAGCCCCTTTTTGCAT